CAGGAAACAGAAACAGAAGAATTCCAAAATACAGCAAGACCACCACTTAAACCATCCGGAGGTACTAAAATCATCTTTTCAAACCCCAAATAAACTCCAATATCTCGGACATAATCATTCTGCTGCTTGGTTTCAATGAGGAACAACACATCTGGGAAATACAGCCTCTGCATTTCCTTAAGACGTCGAACTGTAAGGCGTTGTCCCAAACCCCTACAGTTCCAAACCTCTACTCTCATTGAGAAGATGGTGGTACTGGGCCCACCGCGCCTCTGTCTATAGGATTAGTTGCTCCCTGTGGAAGCTCTTCCTCACCGTAGTCCTCACATATCTTCTGAAGAGCAGCGAATTCAACAGAAATAATCTTCTTGCCCACTTGAAATTTATCAACCATCAAATCTGCAGGACGAGGACGCTTCAATGAAGGTTTACCCAAGTACTCAATATCAGAAACAGGAATTTCCTCAGCAAATGACCGACGCACACTGTTAGCACCAGTAAATGACTCATACTGATCAAAGATAGACCCTGCTCCTCTGCGCTCCTCCATCTCAAGGATGATGTGATCATCATCCTCTTCATTGTCAGAAACCAAGGGAAGCGACATCTGAGGATCAATTGTTGTATTGGATGAAGCTTCTAATAAACCGTCAATAAACTTATGCTTCCTCATTGTTCGTTCTGGACCAATTCTTTTGTCATACTCCGCTTGAATCTCCGCCATAGGTGCGTACCTCCAGAACAAACTCTCTTTCAACTCTTCCTCATTAAGTATAGGAGAAGCATCAGCCTCTGTAAGCATATCTTCAGAGTCGTCCTGCACCGTAGAATATTCTTCACGCTTTCTTTTCAAACCAACGGAATCTCCCACATCATCTTGTCTGACTCCAGAAGAAATCACTGGAAGAGGCGATACTTCATCCGACTCCTGAACATCCGTTTGAGGATCATCACCATTATCCCCCTCATCATTATCACCATCAGAATCCACAGGTGGAGGAGATTGATTAAATCCAAGGGGACAATCGTGCTTTTCGTGAGAAAGATGACCACAAGTCTGGCAGAAACCCCGAAGTCTTTCAAAGCGAAACGATAAGAGGGTGTTAACATCGGCAGCGAATTGAAAATTGCGTTGGAAACGAAGAGGATTATCGACATTCCAGAGCAACTGCACCCTAACAAAATCTACTCTCGTGGAATTCTCATCAAAATCTACATCAAACACCGGAGCAAGTATTCCACCAACAAATTCAATCATAGGACGAGTAAGGAATTGTAATGGAATACCCCGAATTTGAACCCAAAAAGGAATGATCTTGAGTTCGTCAACACCAATATTGGGATACCACCGATGAACAGAGAGCATCCACTCCGCAAAGGACCAAGGGGCACGACGAAGAACCGACATCATTGTCTCTTCAGACTGGAAGACAAACTGGAGTCTATCTGCAGCAATAATACGACCCACACAAGAGTCGACACCCCACACGCGAGGCAATTGAGTGATCATAACTCGGAGATTTTGTTTCCTCGGGTTAATTGGGATAACGACCAGAGAGAATTGATTGGTTGCCGCCGCTTGAATACAAATAGATGGGGGAAGAACCACCGGATCATCTTCGATACCCAAAGTAATATTTTGCATTTTTTGTCTGAGATTTTCAGCCATAGAAAATAACTGGATATGAAACTGACACTTACGAATCTTCATAAAGAACATTAAATAGATGTCTGGCCAAGGCGGTTTCAGAAAAGGGAAACCGAAGTATCGCGAATACCCCGGACAGAAACCACCAGAGAGTACACTCAGTGGAGAAAAACCGACACATCGTGCCCTAGAAACCAGGAAGAAGGTCGGACAACCGCTCAGACGAGAAGAGAAACCGTTTCCGGAAGAGACCCAAAAAATCGCCATACATGTCCGGTTATGTATTCCTTTGTAATTTTTTATAAAATGGCTATTTTATATCACTTTTTGTTAGTTAATTGATTAATTTTTAATATGAGTTAATTTAATTATTTACGATCATGTTGATTGAAGATTTTCAATTTATTCATTTGGTGAAATAAGCTTTCTATATTCAAATAAAAATAAAGATTTTAAAATGTGATTATGATATTTAAGTATTATTGTATTGATAAACAAAATATCTTTTAAAAGTTCTTATAAATTGGCATCAAGCCTACTCGAACCCAGATTAGACATGAAGAGTGGGAACATTGTTACCATCAAACCATGTTATTTTTTTATCTACTATCTTATATTATGAATATATATGGTTTTGCTATATTAAAATACAATAAATATTTAAAAAGTTAATACTTTAGTAACTCGAACTCTAGTTGGATTGACGAATATGTAAAAATATAAACAATGGATCATTTATATTAACATTTTAGCTAATATATTATGTATATATTTATATTTATATTTGATTCACATATTTAACGGGTACCCATAACTGAATCAAAATCTCATAAGTACCTATAGATTATAAGAATGATTTATCCAATATACCTGGAAACAAATAGTTCCTATCCAAAACCGAATCGAATATCTGAATGCCCAATGCTAGGTGAGGGTGCAAATTTTCCGAGGAGACGTTGATGGTAATGTCGATGTTGGGAGGAGGAGAAACCGAAGATTTCAATCTTTTTCTTTTGATTTAGTTTTTTTATTGTTTTTAATATATGGTTTTTTAACCTATTAAAAGACTATGTTTCTGATTTTTAGTTTGATATGTTAGTTTTGAAATGAAAACATAAACAAAACGATTGAAAAGAATTACCTTAGGAATATTGAGCAATATACTTATTATATCAAAAAGATTAGTGATAAAATTAACTGTTAAAAACTTTATTAATATTTTTGTAAAGATAAAATAATAATTTCTGTATAATTAATATTTTGTTTGTTACTGCAACTATATTTATATTTTATCCTCTATAATAATGTGTTATTATTTTCATTTGGAGAGTTTTTAATGCTTTGCTTATGGCAACCACAAAAGAAGATGCTTTCAAAATATGCATCAAGCAAGCCAATGATGCATATGATAAAGATAATTTATTGTAGATCCCAAATTTTGTAATTGTCAGTTTGAATCAATTGCTCAGATACTCCTGCCTGAAAAAAAAATAAATTATGTGATACTCCTGTCTGAAGCTGCTCGAAATCGAAAATAGAAAAAACTTTAATTAAATTGGGAAAATTATTAAAAATCATGGAACCAACAGAAATTTGCATAATTACAACCCAATCAAGATCATTTCACGGACCATCCAGACCCGATCCAATTCGGATCTCTTTCTCACAACTTCTGAAAAATTTGTACGACTTGGTGTAATCTTGGTGTAACTGTATAGCGTATAAAACTTCGACTAATATAGATTGTGTCAGTTACAAAGTTATTCAAAATTGAACTAAGTCGCATTTTTGATTTGCAAAGTTCGACTAGTTTTGATTGTATCTTTTACATTTGCATTATTTTCTTTTATGGATGCAGTGTTGTTAATGATATATTTATTGAAGTTAAAATAAATAAAGATTACTTTATAGAAAAAAACTAAAGATATTATATAATATAAAATGTATTTTACATAAACTTAGTAAAAGTAGATAACCATAACTCATAAACACACAACTAATCTTCAATTGGCCAGTGGGTAGCGGTCAAATGAATATCATTGCAGAAGTCCCAAGCTGCACACTGCCAGAAACAACAACCGCATTTCCACCGTGTTCTAGATCCATCTAAAGAGACTACAAACACCGGTTCTATTACTGCGGAGCCCCAAAAATTATGTGAGACGTTGGGATCTATTCTTTCCAGTAGAGACATAAACACCTCAGGCTTTTCGTAATCCCAGTTGCCTGAGAATACCGAAGTCGTGATCATGTAATTCATCTGATCAACAAATTCACGACTAAAGCTAGGGTAGTTGTGAACCAATCCTCTATCATCAACACTAAACGCTAAGTTCAACATTTCATCTACATACTTGGCCAACAAAAATCCTCTCTCACCAGCAAGATGGATTTTTTCCCTTCCTTCATCAAGTAAATGAAGGACGAAGAACTCATACATACCTCACATGTAGATGGCCTCTAGATTACTGGATTGATAGCACCTAAGCCTGAATGTCCTAACAACATTAGTCTCATCAATCCAATCATCCAAGTTAAAGAGATCTGCAGATTGGTAGAAATATTCTTCTCTGCCAATTTGATTGAACCCGGAGAAAGCAACTTTTGCACTACTGAAGTCCCCGAGATGGCTAGTTGCTACCTTTGAGAGAATCTTATGAAGCATGTAAGGAGGGAGAGAAGCCAAGTTAAATTCGACATGGAGAGATATTTGTTTAATCGAGTAAATGGAGGGATAAGTATAAACTTCAACTGACGTAAAGATATAACTTCAACTGACGTGAACCACTGCCATGTCTATTCATTTGATTGACTCCCTGAGAAAGCACAACTTCTTTCACACGCCTTCTAACTGCAACAAGACTTTATATAACTTTAATTTATTAATTTATTAATATTTATAACTATATATAAGTAAGTGAAATTAAGTGAATTAGATTGGCAAAATTTATGAAACTAAGAAAAACGTAACAATTTAGATGGTATAAATATTTGAAACTAGGTAAAACGTAATATACTTTAGTGGATATATTTAATGATAGAACTAGCAGTATAGAATTAATGATTTATTACTCCAAGTTCCATTTTGTAGCTCCTCTATTTATGGGTGATTTGATGGACTGCTCAAAAGAACACGACGTCTCTCATGAAAAAATCTCTTATAATAATCATTACACGTGCATTTAAACGTCACCCTCAACACTACATCGTTTACAATCCCCAATCATCATCACCATTGCATTTAAATTCGACCCCTTTAAACTCTACCACAATAATTTAAGATTTCTCTGCAAAAATTCACCAAATAGAAAAGCAAAGAAAGGATTCATCATCTCCTCTCTGAACAAACAAGATGACACAATACAATAAGCTTTCTGAAGTTTCTTATAACCCCAAGATCACGACTTGGCATTTTAGAGTCAAAATACACAGAATCTGCCCTTACTATTTCTATCTTACCAGCAGTGTACCTTTCTATACCTATATCCTATCAGATGAAGAGGTAAATGGTAAATCACCTCTCAAGTTTCTAATAACATGTAACCGTGAAAAATAAAAACTTGATCCGTGTAGTTTATTTATGTAGGGAACCAAGATGAAGATGATCATTTTTGGGGATTATGATAGGTCTAGAGGTCTAGAGAAGCAAGAGGGAAAATTGGTAGAAATCTTTCGGGTAGAAGTTAACCGTTCCCGTCCAGGTTTCCAGGAAACTAACTCTCGGTTCACTCTAACTGCTACGCCCTATACGCAAATCCCCATCATCGATCATCTGAACAAACGGCTTTTCATGGACTTTAAGAACATCCATGCAATCCCTCAAATGGACCACAGGGACGGAAACTATCCCATAGGTATGAATACTACTAAAATTTAAATATATTCACATGTTTAGATTTATAAAACTAAGATAAACTAAGAAAAACGCAACACTTTTCTGGTAGATACAATGGGAGTGGTCTTCTACAGGGAAGCCCATTTCGATGACCCTGCAAACCCAAGGATGGTGTTTTACATAAGGAACAACATGTAAGTAGAAAGTAACATATGATCAAAGCAAAATTTATCTATACTGTAATTGATGCACCTTTTTTATTCTGAATAATGACAGTCGGATAAAATGTAAGCAGCTGGCGATCATGCTTATGCCTTCCGAGATGGTCTTGAAAACATCATAGGTCGTGGACAGGTGATTGTGGTCCTTAAGATGTGGAGGGTCTGGAAATTTACGAGTAAGTGTAGTTTATGTGTCTAGTTTTAAATGTGACAATTGAGTAAAACATTTACTAAACTCATTTATACAGATTATTTTTGGTCCTCCTGATCTATTGCTTGAGACCGAGGCTGGATTGTCTGATTTCAGGTTTAATCCGCATTTGCCGGAAGTTAAGGATTTCATGCAGTCTCTACTACGCGGTGACCCTTATCTTCAGAGATATGGTGTGACACCCCTGATCTGGTCTAATTACAAGTTGAGTCAACCGGCTGTGCAACAATCAAACAAGAACATGCACAGCCAATCACTAGTAACTTAAACCAAATCAAAGAAGCCACAATGTGCACATAAACGATTAACTCAAAGTTCCCAAAATGAATCCAAGTACCTTAAGCCAATTGCCTAAGTACACATATCCTATTAGGTACAACCCAAGGCGTTGCAACCCGACCGAGTAATACCCAATAGTTGGTTCGTCCGGACAAGGACTAATATCATATGGAACCCAGACTTAAAGAAACATTCTTTATACATTATATAATATTCTTTCAAAAGCATCTTACAAAACATTAAGTATTAACCTCGAGGTTTTCGGTTAACAAACATTATACATAAGATATATGAAACGAATTTCAAGGATAATAAATCTACCGCTGGCTGAAGCCGTTCCTTCACGTCCTATAGTAAAGGTCTCCCACCTACTGGTTACCTGCATCACAAATGAGTCATGAGTAACTAGTTTACTCAGTGAGTCTAATCCCACACCCAAACACATATTAATAATATCCCGAACAGTGAACTCTATTTGTATGCAGTGGAAATGTATTCCATAACTATATATATAAGGCCTATCATTCGATCAATGTGAATCCATCTTAAACATCACCTCCACAATACCCGCCAATCACTCATACTCATAATATATATATATATGCTAAACCCGGAAAACCACCAAGGCTAACCGAACATAGCGGGGAATAAATATAACCATCATCTCCATCAGATACTCCAAGATAGAAAATCCAACGCTGCATGCAGTTACACGGTCTCCAGGGTGCGACCCCATCATCGTGTCTTCATGACCTTGATCCATATCGCAGGTCAATTTCACGGCAATTCGGGACTTTCGGGAGAGTGAGTATACAATAAGACTTCACACGATTCCTACTTATAGTACTAATAGTATGCTTATATATTAGTACTTGAGAACAAGTACTAAGGCTCAGGGTAAACCTCAAATAATATTTCATAATTATTCTTAAGTGTTTAGATAAGTAAACACCTCACCATAATTATAGGTTAAGATACTTTGTTAATCAATCAATCCTATTCAGTAATTAAATCAAGCAACACTCTTTCATAAATCATCATTCATCTATCTAGACTAACCTTTGAATCCATGAGATTGGCTAAGGAAGACTAGACACGATCTCAAGCTAAACGTTCACCACTTGCTGATCACTTCCCAAAACAAAATGAGGACAAGACATGATCCAACTGGTCCGGCCACTCTCCTTGACCATCAATTTAAAATCAACAATATCTGAACTCAGCTGGTACACCAATTCTAGTTGAAGCCACGCCTACCCGAGTTAAACTCAAACTCTATGGTCATGCCTACCTCAGCTCTTGAACGTGGCTTAGACTGATCCTTGGTATCCTTCTAAGACTTATTCTTTAGATTTATTCATGGACATAACTAAGTTTGGTCCTAGATATGAAGAGAAAATCGACCAGACTCTGATCTGTTTTTGTCACCATCTTGGCCAGACTTATGAAAGACTTCATATCAGTCAAGAGAAGACAAAATCATCTCCCCATAATTTTCTCTGATTTTTCTCTCCTATTTCTCTCACTGTTTTTCTCGGTTTTTCACTCAATATTTCTCTGGTTTTTCTTGCAGGTTATGGACGTCCAGAGGAGAGAAGATGGTGTCTTATATCATAGGAGGTTGCTTCACCTCAGGGTTTCACTCAGGACAAAGCAAGGAAAGGAGTGGACAGGTGGTGACCAGCTTTATCACTATCAACAGCCAAGCAGCTCTCTTTTCCCTCACATGAAGAAAGCTTATCCCAGTCACATAGTTTTTGTTTTATTAAACTGAGCCAGCAAGCAAGCAGACTGGCTGGTGCAGGTCATGTGACTTAATTACTGAGGAAGCAAGCAGGCTAGAAGGTGCAAGGCATGTGATGGGTTAGCAAGAAAAATAGAAAGCTTGTCGATATTTCAGAACAGTTTTCGACTAATTATTTCTCGTCCACTAATTCTCGTCCAGCTCTTGACTAGACTCGTCGACCTTGAATAAAACTCGAACATAGTAATTAACACTCGACCACAACTTTCAAGGGGAGGTCTTTCGACCACAAGATAGTCCCGTCGAGAAATTAATTTTCTTGGTCGATTATTTTTTATTTTTCAATCTGATTGTACCAACTCAAACTTGTCGAGCGGAATTTTCCGACCAAATTCTAATCCGGTCATGAGGGTTATTACATTCTCCCCCCCCCCCCCCCCTCAAAATAATTCGTTCCCGAATTCTCAAAACATAGCTGTACAGACTTTTACTGAAAACTGGAGTCTCTGCAAGAAGTTTAAGATAACCAACTCTGAACTTATCCTTATCTACCCGTGTCAAAACAACTGATGATTCCCCAAATACTTGAACTTTTACAAAAAAAAATTTCTCCAATCTTCTGATATGGTGCTCACCTATCCGCAAAGGACCTTTAGGATAAGTGAGTTGAGGTTGAAGGCTTTTTGGTCCCACCAGTTCTATTATACTGGGTCTAATATAGGATTACGCAACATCGGCTCACTAACTGCATAACTGAAACAAGCTTCGGTCAACAGATAACCTTTTCAACTCTTAACAACTCGGTACAGACCAATTAACCGATCTGCGGATTTCCCAACTTTCTTAAAACAATTATTTCTTTTCATCGCAGCCACTTTCAAGACTAACAAAATTCATTACTGCTACACAACTCTCGTCAACTGTGGTTTGCATACTTGTATTGACATCGTTGAATCTCTGAATACCATCACTTCTGAAAATTTTCTATCTGCTTGGCTTCCAGATCAATGATCATGGAAATATGAGGTGATGTGCCATACGTCAAAATAACATCTCCGGTCTGGTCAATGTCAACTTGATTAACCGTGCAACAATCAAATAAGAACATGCACAATTAATCATGCTAACATGATTCAGACCAAGGGTGCTACTCTAAAATACACACACACACCCACTCTAAGAATGATTTCTGTTACAGTATTCTATACACATCTGATCTAACTGAGACCCTCTTCATAATCTCTTCAACAACTCAATCTCTCTGATGTTTCTCATGTCCAATTCTTGTCCTATTGCTTTCTGATTTCCTTCTTCTGTCCAACATCTGAGGAATCAACAAGTCCGCCTATACCAAACTTGATTTACCAACGAAGTACTCTTGTATGATGACTTCACACTTTCTCGGTTGATACATCCTCTGTTCTCTTAACACTTGGGCATTCCCATATGTGTTATGGTTATACCTTTTTCCTTGCACTCTTCAATCTTCCTCGGGGTTCACTTCACATATGCTTAACTTTAGGTAGAACTTTGGTTCCTTCTCCAACGTCTCCGCTTTCTGATTATCTAAAACATTAAGTTCTTTTGCATTACTCCTTTCTGGTATTATTCGCTGATAGTCTCCTCACCCAGTTCCTCCTATGATTTCCTTAGGTTCTCATCCTTCAACTGGGTTCCTTAAATATGAATGAGTGAGCCAACTTGATCTACCACTTGCAATATTGACAACTCTTCACATTCTCCTTATAAAGCAGGCAAACCATTCAAAATGATTCGTCATGATTTATGAGTTCCTTCTCAGTAACAAGGCCAAATTTACCGCTCCATAAAGCGTAAGGAACTGCATTTGATTTTCCTAAGTTTCTTTTTTATTAAACACTTGCATCCTTTCTCCATATTGGAATGATCACTAGATTTGATGTGCAACAGAACGATTGCCAACTTCAACTCGTGCATCGGATAAGTTCATTTAACTTATCTTTCTTTAGCTTCCTTGATGCATAAACGATTACCCTATCGTTTTGCATTAGCATTCACCTTGAGCAACATATAATACATCCATATAGTAGTATATGGCTGGTTAAGCTCATGCAAATCTAAGATATGCGAAGACGTAGATACTTCCTCTAACTGATTGCATACTTCATCAATACTTTTTCTCCATTCCATAAAACACCATTCTCAGTCGATCAGCTCATTGGTGGATATGGTTTCTAACTCTTGAACAAACTTATGATGATAACCGACCAATCCACAGAACTTCGAATCTCGATAACTGAAATTGAATACGACCATTATGTAGTGGCAGCGATCTTTTCTAAATATGCAACAACTCCTTGATCCACTTACTGATTGAGGGATCTAACTTCCAATTTCCTTAACCACTCTTCACTTCTTGAACTTGATACTTGACCCTGGTGGTCATGTCCTTGATTTAACTATAGTCGAACGTAACAGCAAACTCTGGTTCTTCTCTTTACCACTGAGATGGGTACACTCCATAGAAAATAACTAAGTACAACGAAACCTTTCTCCAAACAAATCTTCTAACTGCTACTTGAACTCGGCTAGAACCACCTGACAGAACCACTCGGTTTACACAAGAATACTGAACGGGTTACTTCTAGGTGTTGACACTCCTTCCAGCGCCATAAATATATCTTTGAATTCTTTGATTACTATATTGTCCTCTATGCTTTTCTCCTTTTGATCTTCTACTTTCCCAGTGATCAGAATAATGGACTACACCACTTCTTCTCCTTTTCCTGAAAGGTAACCAACTCTCCAGACTTATACGAACGTTGCTCCGACACTTGGTAAAATATAATTGTAGGCCAACGTGACTGGTATTCCTCCACATACTTATTTCCTCAACAACGTCCTAATTG